CAGTTCCACCGCACATATAACTAATGCTGCTGCCATCATCGCCACCGCAACGCGATTTTTCGGAAACAACTAAAAATACTCACATTCAAAGTATTTTCGGACCATCGGGCGCGCACCGTCAGCATTGCGAGTCAATCAGTTGCAAGAGCAATGTGAGCGCGCGCAGAGAACACCGCGAGCGCATGTTGAAGATTTATTTTTATTTGTCGTGGCTGCCGCTGAATTTAGCTGCTTACGCCCGTTGCCGGTGCATGTGACCAACGGAATTCACCGATTTTAATGCCACCGCTGTTGTTATTGTTACTGCTACTGCTTTATTTATTGACACGGTGAGGTGACTGTGCGCCATCATGCCCCGAGCGGCGTCCGCGTTGGCGCTCAATGTCGACATGCACACGAACGCTCATACATTAACGGTAAATACATATTTACATACACATACATATATCTACATATACATAAGTTTGTGCGCACGTGTGTCGTTGTGGTGTGGCAGCGTCTGTCTATGTTCTTTTTCTAGTTTACTCGCAGTTGGCTATTGTGGGGGCCAAAATAAGCCAAACGCCTCGAACAGCTAATAATCAGTAAAAACAACAACAACTAAATTTTTATATTGGCTCAAGCCCCGACTGTGGGGGCACTTTGCTGGCATTCTGAAGTGGAATGCAATTTCACCTGTCGTTGTTATTGTATTTCTATTGTTGGCAATTGAAATTTGCAGTTTCGTGATATTTTTGGTGCATCTTTATTCTCTGTCGGAATTTTTCGTGGCATCTGCTTTGGGCCAATTTGTAATTAGAGCGCGAAAAATTTGTGTTGCCATGGCTGTTGGGCGAGTAGGGCGGTCACGGTGTCTAACCACTTCCGCAACGACTGATTACACAGATTTTTAAGAAATAGGAAATAAATACTAAGATACGCTTCTATGCGAAATATAAGTATTAAGGTCTAAGATCAGACATAACTGAAAAAAAGGTCTTCGAAAAAATCAACTAAAGGAAACAAAAAATAATATCACCAACTAAACTTCTATAATTCAGTATTTATCCAATCTTGATCTCACTATAGACTCGTGCAGGTTATGGCAGCTACAGCTTGCACTATAATCTACTAATAATATTATTTAGATTATCTTAAAGTGAGTGAGGGTTATTTTTTTTCGATCACTAACCCAAATTTTTTGTGGTTAGAATATTTGACATATTGTAGAGGATTCTAATTATGTGGGAGATTTTACAACTCAAACATTACAGCGCCGCCAAAATATGCATATAGAAGATCGGGGTCTAACCAAAACTATCGTATGCATACTAAAAACCAAATACTCATTTTAAATTTTGGCTAAGTAACTTATTTTAATTTAATTTTTTTGTTGAATCGATCGGCGAACCTAGGGCATACTGTCGAGGTCCTATAACGTATTTAAACTGACATAAATAGTTAGAGTTTTATTAACCATTCAAACATTTTATTTCATATTATATTATAACCCTACTGGAATCTAAAACCACTGATTAATCTCTAAATGTTAATGTTGTAGCGGCAGTTTTGGACAATGCCATCAACTCCATAATTCTTTGCCGGGTAGAAAACCGAGTACATTTCCGTAATATTAGAACCCACTGTCTTGCGTTCTCTAATAAAATCCTGTTAACAGAGTTCTTTTTTGTTCTTGAGGTAAGAATGAGATTTTTTACAATACAATTAAATTAAAATCTTCTAGAAACTTGATAGATCTCACATTGTTTTCAAATCCCAAATTCGAAATTGATAGATAACTTAATAATAAAAACAAGTCAATATTAGTAATATTTTTTTTGATACTCTTTTTGCTCGACCATGTAGAAAGAAGCTGTGAACTAGATGTATTTCTGAATATTTTTTTTTAAAAACATTTTTTAATGATATCAATCGAAACTTGAAGAAATGAAGAAACTTCCACAAATAGTACTTGACAAGCCTTCGTGATCGTTGTAGATCGCAGCAGTTCCTAGGTTAAAGATCAAATTCAAATTATGTATTTTTAAGAACCCTAATATCTAGCGTATCCCTCATGTGTACACTGAGATAATTAAAAAGTTTTTATCCACTTTCATTAATTTTTATACCATGAAAATGTATGGCAAGAGATCTGTAATACTCAGAAAGAAACTTCGGAGACCCTATAAAGTATGTATTGAAAAACTATCGCGAATTTTCAATTTTAGCGGGCTACGTGTATTCGATTCTCGATTGTTTAGTGGCGTTATGTTAAAACTCATATTTCATACTTCTGCTGACAAGATCGGCCATTTTGAATATTTAGTTGATTTTTGACAGATATTTTTCTTGGACGCGTTTTGGTTTGTCTTCGATTTTTGCTTATTTCAAAAATACAACTTGTAGAAGTGACTCGATTGGCTTGTGCTATTCGATTTTAACCAATGGTTTAGGAATGCGTCGTTTCGCCGCGAAGTTTTCGTTTACACCAAAAATGATCAGCTTGGCAAGCTGAGTCGATTTAGCCATAACCGTCCGTCTATCCGTCGTTCCGTCCCAAAAATCTGCTCGTTTTTCGGAACCGCCAATATCAGATCA